CCCCTGTTTATGAGCAACGATAGACAGGCGGGGAACTGGCTCAGGGGGGAGAACATCGGTCGACACATCGCCGATAGGTCGGCGAAAATCACCCGATAACGAATCCAAGCGCTCCTGGGCCAGAAAGGGCTATCGGGCCCCCCTCGGCGATGAACGCACGATGGGGTCGACGAGTTCCCCCTGTGAGCCTGCCCCTCCCCCTTCACGTTGCCCCTGCCCTCCCAGGGGATGTGTTCTGACCAATATTTGGAAGAAAATCCAGCCGTGGTCAACGAGGGCTCTCCAGGATGAGCAATGATATCGGCATCGCTTCCTCCTCTGAACCTCTGTGCCTCCCCACCCTTCCACTCCCGAAAGCATGGTGCATGAGGCAAGCCGGGACACGCATCGTGTTCCTTCCCGCTCTCCTCCCTTCGTATCCTCCCGCCTCCTCCTCCTCATCCTCCTCCTCCCTACCCTACTCCCTATTCCCGCACCAAATGGAATTGTACACAGGGCAAGGTACGACTCGAGCAGCATCCTCCTTCCTTGCGTGGCGCTGTCGCGTCAGCTCTGGAAGAGAGTCACCACCCACGCGGCGCCACACGCCTGTTGAGACATTTGCTCCTGGCGTGGCCAAGCTGCATGATGACCCCCAGGAAGGGCCATCCAGCGCCAACGACCAAGGAGCTCAGGCAATTTTCACTTCGGGCGACACGGAGAGATTAGTAAACGAGGGGGGCTAGCGAATCAGCTCACGCAACTGGCCTTCACGGCGCCTCTCGGCGCCAGAGGCGGCACTCTATCGAGGAATGCGGCAAGCGGCGAAGCCGAAACCAGCTACCTGCAGCAGATTTCGCCCCACCCCGTTCCCTACCCCCACCCTCGTCGCCCGACACACGGTGTTCAGGAGCTGCGTGAGAGGAAGCAGGGCAGGACAGAGGAAAGCCGAGCCCAAACGAGGACCCCGATTTGCGCGCAACGCTCGCACAGGCTGCAGGCCATCGCTCTGACGTCCATTCCCCATGCATTGTTCGGCTTCGTGCGTGCCATTCTTCGCTGGATGACCCAACATGCTCCTCGGAGGTCCTTGCCGAGAGAAGATGTACACGTCCGAGCGATGCCAAGAAGAAGAGGTGAGATGGCGACGCGATCGACGAACGACAACGATCCACATAAACGACGGCGACGACGACGAGACACGATGACAGCACGCACGGCAGATGCAACGGTAGGTGCGAGAGGAAGTCAGGACAAAGGGGAAGACAACACGGAGGCGCGGATACACCGAGAGTATCTAAACGACTCCGGGTGAATTCAAGAAGCGCGTGCGGGATCGCCTTCCTCCCCTTCGCCTCTCCCATCCACCACGATCCCCTCCCCATACAGAAACCCAACCTCTGTCGCAGCGCCAGACATGCCAACAGGGCTGGTCGCTTCGCCTGACAGGTCCCGAACACCCCTGCTGACCCTGAAGCTTGAAACTTGAAACACATACACGGTTGCATGGTTTTTGCTTGCACAGTGCGGCTCTCGCATTTGCGCTGCTCACATCCGGCTTAGACTGATGTTACTGCTACAAGGATAAAGGGGGTACTTTTCAAAATGGAGACTCGGCTTCGCAGCGCGCGCAGTTGTCTCAAAAGCTGGCAACAGTTACGGAGATGGAAATGGGGGATGGACAGACCTCCCTTTAGTAAAACGTGGTTTAGTGAAAACGACCTCCGGCCCAAACCTGGCGGGCGCGAGCCTGGAAAATGAAGGCCGCGGCGCCCTCTCGAGATCCGAAAGCGGACAATTCACTAATCGACGTGTCACTGTTGAGGGTTCTGTCCACCCCCGAGGTAAGGGGGGCGTCTTCAAAATAGGACTCTCGCCCTAGCGCCGCACACATTCGATAAAACAGGTCCCAACAGATGGAAGGATTGATGGGGGGGTCAGAATGGGGCCATCACCTCAGCGCCGCGCACATTCGTCTAACAAGTTTGCAGCCAGGTTCCTTTCAAACATGTGGATTTCGCTTGGGCTCCCCACGACCTTGATGACTGGAATTGCAACATCGTGAGCAACAGTTACACAAATCCGGATTTCCTGTTCTTTCAATCCTGGGATCTCGCTTGGCAAGTTGTTTATCCGTATGGCCATATTTGTTTTGTTGCATGCATTCGTATTCACTGCTAAAAAAGACGCATCGTGAATCCTGATATAGACGGTGTTCTGGCACGAACCACATGCCCATGTGGCGCTGATCTTGCAGGTGAGCGCTTCCTTTCGTGCAGAAATGAAGATGTAATGACATATGAATCAGGAACTTGAAACAGAGGGGGTGCGTTGCAGCATGGCTGGTGCACCTTAGGTATATGATAGTCCTCCTCCTCATCCGTGTCTCCTTTTTGTTCAAGTGGTCGCCCTCATCTGGCCCTACCACCCCGCCCTGTTTGATATTTACCAACTCATCCTCAGTCCCTGCCACATACGGTCCATGCGGCTCCCATCATCATGCTTTGCCTGGTCCTCTTCCTAAGCCCACTTCGCGTTCGTGAAGATCGGGGGCGTCCAAGAGGGAGGTTCGCACATCATGGCCGGAACAACGCGCGCAGACGCAATCCAAGAAGAACAGGGTTATGAAACCCAAAGGATGTCCCAACCCTGGCCATGACACCCTACCCACGACGATACCGATAATGATGGTAACGGCGGTGATGAGAATGTCGATGTTCATGATGGTGATGATGATGACTCTTACGATGAGGACTACGATGGTTGTAGTGGTGATGATGACGACGGTTTTGATCAGCATTATCACCATCATCAACACCAACCACATCACAACCATTCCTACGACCATCATCATCTCCAACACCACGATCACCACAACCGTCACCATCATCAGCATCACCATCACAGCGCCCACTACTACCATCATCGCCACTAGCAGCAGCTTCGTTACCATCACAACTCTCGTCATCGTCATCATCAACATCATCATCATATCAGTCACCATCACCGTCATTGCCTTCGCCACAATCACAAATCATCACCACCATCAGCACCAGCACCAGCACCATCACCGCCATCACCATAATTGTCATATCTTCTGTTTTTCGCATTGAGTCGGCATCAATATCACCAAGCATGCCCTGTGACTTGCGAACTCACTCCTTCCCCAAGGCGTCGAAAACTGTTTGCGTGCTTGTTGCCGCTACTTACTGAACGCCTCCGGCTAGCATTGATAGTACTGATGAATTGCAAGCGTACCTCAGTAGCTTGGTCGGGACCTGTTGCTTCTACCTCGTAACTGCTGCTTGCACTGTAAGCTTGAAGTGCGTCTCCGGCTGCAAGAGTACGTGGTCCGCCATGATCATTGACCCACCCTTTGACTACCCACGCGAAGCTCGAGATTCCATGTTCCAGGCGGTGTCCCCCGTCGCTCCAACACTATATAACTATTCGTGATGCTCTCCATGTAAGCGTTCAGGCATCATGCCATGCTGACGTGTTCGAAGTCCTCCCGTACGTCCACACAGAAGTTGGCAACCAAGTCGGCCTTTTTCTTGCAATCCCTTCGTAACCACTTGATGAAGGTGCTGTTGATGCACCTTGGATCCAAGTTATACCCCACCAGAATGACTGAGACATTACCGATCGCGTGGGCTACTATGCCCTTGTGTGCGTCTCCGGCCGCTGCGGAGCCTCGAAACTATGTTCACAAATGTGTCGCTGTCGGTTGTGAACTCGAGAATGTAATACCTCTCCCACAAACAATCCGCCCAAACCGTGTTGTCACGATCGCCGCCACACGAATCTGATAAAGGCCCATGGTCGCAAGCTGAGAAACCGCCACGCGCCGGTTACAGATCAGAATGTTTTCTCTTCGACCGCCCAAATGCGGGACTGCATGGTTTGGGAGTCTGCCCGAAGACAGGCGAGGCCCTCCGCCTTCGAACCGTGCTCCAAAGCGAATTCTTCAAGAACTCCTTCTGGTGAGAGCGCCAAGCGCCCGGGCTGTCCTCAAGGCGCCGTCTCCAATGCGGCAACGAGCTGTTCAGGCCGTCCTCCCGCTGTAGTCTCTTGCCGCTGTGCAGGTGTCTCCATCCTGTAAGGTTTTTGTAACCCATCTCTTTGCACAGGAGTCCTCGTTTCTTCCCACGTGGCGGCTGGGCGGCAATTCGTGTAATCATCAAGCGGCCTGGCGCCATCATTTGACTTGAACGTCCACAAAATCCTCGCCCAACTGAGCGGCATTCTTAAGACCTTCACGTAAGTCGGATCCAATCTGCACTTAACGAAAAACTTACAAATCTTCTGGTTGGCGCGCGGGTTGTACTCGGAATTAACTTCCGCATCGCTGGTTCCCTTCATTTACAGGAAAGCCCTAATACGATTCAACTCCCACCTTCTGAATAAGTGCACGTTATGCTTACAAACATCCCAACCATCCCCATAGAGCACTGCACCCCCGGCCCCGTAGCACCACGCCCGCGCCGTTTCCGACACAGGCACAGTCCTATCCTTGAGCATATTGGCGATGGAGCCGTAAGGAACGTCCGCCTTGGCAAGGATGTGATCGATACTTCCACAAGGACTGCGCCGTTGATCGACAAGGACGCCTGAGATAACGATCTCGCGCTTACTCGTCAGAGTCATCTTGCCCTCGGGGGTTTGAACGAATGGATCTCCATAGTCGCCGTCGTTGGTACCATTGATGAAACTAAGCCCTGCTGCCTTCCATTTTGAGCCGTTTCTGTAAATGACCTCCGTAAGCATTTTGAACATCTTCTGCACATCGTGCCCGGAAGACGCGACCAGGTGCAAAGTATCAGCCCAAATTGCGTGGTTCACCAAAACTTGTTCGTCGAACGTGAAACCCATGTTCGAAGAACTCCGCATCATCAACATCACCACCATCATCATCATCAGCATCATCAGCATCAGCATCAGCATCAGCATCAGCATCAGCATCAGCATCATCATCATCATCATCATCACCATCACGGCTGCCGTTCCTCCACCTCGTCCTCCTCCTCTTCCCGCTCCATACTGCGAGGCTGGCGGACGGCTCCCCCTCACGCAGCCGCGACCGACTCGGCCTCCGCCTGCGCAGGGAACCACTGAAGGGGCTCGGAGCAAAGACGCGCCCCAGCTGCCCGACCTCCTGTGAGGTGCTGCGGGCGCCTGTGCACCGAGCTCCTGCGTTGAACTCCTTCGCCCCTTTAGAGGAACCAAAGGAGCAAACACATCATTTCTCGGATGCCCACGCGGATTTATTGTATCGGCGCTGAGCCCCCCTCCCCAGCGCGCGGAGAGCGCTGGGGGCGGGGTCGGAGGCGTCGCCAGGGGGGGGGGGCCAGCGCAGATCCAGTAAATCTGCAAGGACCTGCGAGAAGTGTGGTTTATGTAGTCTACGATTGGTGCATACATCATGCTCCTCCGAAACAAGCACGCACTGCGGTCAAGATCTGCCACAGGGACGGGTTACAGGAGCGCGTAGTAGCACCAGGAGCGCGCCAGGATGCCATGGTACCCTTGGGCCGAGGCAGCAAAAATCATGCAAATAATGCCCAGTCTAGGGATGCGAGGTTACTTCCCTCAACGCCTACTCCTTAAGACCGGTTTCGACTGCACCCCATGCCCTCTTTGACGCCCAATATCCCGCGCGGTGCGGGCGGCGGGTGCGATGTAAAAGCTTCACCGCGCAGAGGGACATTGGATACCCTCGCAAATCGTCGGCGCTGTGCCTGGACCTCCAACGTCGTGACACACGTTCAGCACAGTCAAAAGCTCTGCCAATGAAAACCCTGGGCAGTGAAATACCACCCTGTGGGGTCTCAGCTAATTACGCCAAGATGCACGATGATTGCACAGGAACAGCGCACGGAAAGGCCAGGGGAACATCGAGCCCCTTCCGAAACCAGCGTGGACCTCATTCCAAAGTTTCGACTGCACTCGTAATCACGTTGGCTTCTGGACCCCCGCTCTTGCATGGACGTCGCGACGCGGGCTGTCCCTGCTGGTCGCCCTGGGGCCCGCACCCCCTGACTCAGTAGTCGAGGGCCGAGGCCATGGGAGAGGTCGACGGCGCCAAATCAGGGAGAACGTGCGTCGGCGTAGTGTGCGAGTCCCGTCTTCGTCTTCATTTTCAGTAACACACATGACATAAGCGGATTTCTCGGATCGGCGCTGGACCCGCCTCCCTGGCGCGCGGAGCGCGCCAGGGGCGGCGCCAGAGACACCGCCAGGGAGCTCCAGCGCCGATCCGAGAAATCCGCCGACCCTGTCGGCGTGTGTGAGGGGCTTTGCCGTTCGCCGTCGTCGTCGTCGTCGTCGTTGCAGTGCTTTAGCGGGCTTGAGGGAAATCGACCCATGTCGTAACCACGTCAAAAAGAAGCCCTTTCCCTTTGTCCCTTCCCCGGCGGGGGGGGGGGTCCCTGGGATGGTCGCCACCCAAATACGCTTTCACTCCCCGCGCGTCCGGCGCGGTCCCCGCGCGGTCCCGGAACCCCGCGCGGCTTCCCGGTTTCCATAATGGCCCCTGGAGGCCGAAAATGACTAAAGACTGAACATGCAGAACAACTCCCCCTCCCCCTCCTCCTCCTCCTCCTCCTCGGAGCTCCTCCTCCTCCTCCTCCTGCTCACTCTGCGGACTCCGAACCCCAGGCTCGAGAATCGAGGCTTCCTGGCGCCGCCGGAGCCCTCTCTTCGGCCACCCTCCTGCTCCTCCTCCTCCTCCTCCTCCTCCTCCTCCTCCTCCTCCTCCTCCTCCTCCTCCTCCTCCTCCTCCTCCTCCTCCTCTCTCACCCCCTCTCTCCCTCCTCCTCCTCCTCCTCCTCCCTCCTCCTGCTCTTCCAACTCCTCCTTCTCCCGCCATCACCCTGTCCTACTCCTCTTCCCCTCCTCCTCCTCCTCCTCCTCCTCCTCCTCCTCCTCATCCCCTTCATCCTCGCCTCCTCCTCCTCATCATCTTCCACGGACCCCGTCTCCGCCCACTTCGTCGCCGACGTCATGTTCCTCTTCAGGGTTGGCGGCACCGGCCGTCAGGCCTTCGCAATCCGATGGGTCTCCAAATTTTGTGTTAATGAGACTTTGCGTTCCCCGATCGTTGGATGCCGTCCAGGTCGTCTGCCTTCGTCGTCGGGGCGAGGTCGTCGAAAATTTGGGTCCGTTGGGTGCCCCTCGCCCTCGGGCCTCCGCTGCCGCGCGCCTGTGCAGCCCGTGCTCGAAGACCTGCACGCTGACGGTGACGCCGCCGACCTGCTGCTCTCCTGCAACTTTGGACGCCCGAAATGGGTACGGAAACAGTGGGTACAATGCCCAACAACAAATGTTGTCCCACACCAACAACACCAACAGCGGGCGCTGTTGGGCAGGCGGCCTCCTGTCTCACATGGACACAAGCCGTGGCGGCGCGGACAGCGAGCCCTGTTCAAAATGAACAGGGACTGCTGTTGGGCATGGTACCCATTCTTTCCGTACCGCTCGTGCAGAACAACGAGGAGGTCAATGAAACCAGCTTGCGCCGATAACACTCGCGCGCCTCTGGATCTGCAGAGGGGGGTGGCGATCGCCCGCCACCGTGCCCCACCCCCGGCACGCCGAGGCCTGGCGCAGTGCCAAGACCTGCCCGGCGGGGGTCTCCGAAAGTCTTCCGAGGCCCACCGCATCCCCTCACACCACGCGGACTCGCGGGGGCACCGCCGCCGCCCCCCCCCCCCGATCCCTCGTAACAAACCACTGGTCCGCGCTCCCGAAGCCACGGCTCGTCTTTTAAAAAGTGCAGGTTGCAACGGGAACGTACAATATTCGGCCTGACCCAAGGAACGATGAATAAGGCCTTTTTGTCCAAGTCAATCTACGAAGTCCAAAGGAACACCCGGGGGGGCTCGCCGCGAAAAAGGTGGCGGGACGCATGCAAACCAAAAAAACGACCGAACCCCTTTTGAAAAGAAAGTGTTCCTGAATCAAGCCGGATCCTGTAAACAACGCTGCGTAAAAAAAACAAAAAAAAATAAAAAACACGCATGGTGAGTCACCATCCAAGGGGGCGCGCGCAGCAAAAAAAGTCAACACGACACGGCTTGACACGGCGCACGGGCACAGCGGAACACTACACTTGCTTTCGTTCCAGAGCCCTGGCACGGCACGGCACGCGTAAGGACGGCACGGCAAATGTCTCGCATTCCAGAACCTGCGGCACGGCACCTTGCCGCATTTCAGAAACCAAGCAAAGCACGGCACTGCACGCGGGCACGGCGTGACACAATTGTTTACCTCTTCTTCGAACCTACGCACATCACGACGCGGCACAATTCGCGCACCTGGGCGCGGAAGGGCACGCCGTTGGCACATGTTTCGCATTCTGGGTGCTGAAATTCGTTCAAATCCCTGGTATCATTCGCTACTTAAGGAGCTATCCCGCGCATCCGAAGCTTGGAAGCCTTCTAAATGGGGTCGGAGTAGATGGGTTCGGAAGATCGCGCCGCATCGCAAATACATCGACGATACATCGGCGATGCATCGGCGACGCAGCTGCCATACACAGGCGAAGGATCGCCGACGTCGGCGCGTAGCAAATCGGGCTCCGCATCGAACCGCATCTGTGAGGCATCGGCGATGTGGCGCGATCCTCCGACCCCATTTACTCCGACCCCACCTAGGAAGCCTAGAAAACCACGATCCTTCTTTAAAAAAACTCTTGATCCGGGCTCCCGGGGCCACGATCCCACGAACGAAAAGGATGGATCCGCGCTCTCGGCGCCACGCTACCCTGCTCAGATGGCTGAGGCAAGCAACCGCGGTCGCATAGATGGCTTGCCATACAATATCCACGTCCTAGTTGGGAAATCCGCCGGCCCCCTTGCGGGGCCACAAGGCTGTAGGATGAGGGTTTGCTGCCCCTTGCGCTAGTCCCAGCTTCCAACTTCCACTGTTACGGTTATGCTTCTTGTTGCTTAGCGCTGGCCAGCGATGCGTCGCACTATCAGGACAGGGTTCGGTCGCAGCCTCCAGGTTCTTTCGGCGCGGCCACGCCGCAGACGAGGGGGAAGAACAATGCGGGGCGTCGGCCGAGGACGTGGAATTTCTTCCACGCTGCCACAGGCAACGCGCCCTCGCCTTTCACCCCCCGCGCCTCCTTTGACACCCTGACGCTTTTACACCCTGACAAACCTCACACTTTAACGCTCCCCCGCCGTCCTCTTCAAGCACGGCGAGTTGGGTGGCCGGCCTCAGCGGCGAGCGTCGCCGCCGCCATCTGCCCACATCTTGTCGTTTCGAGCGTTTCCGTTCTCACTGCTCGCGGGTTGGATTGCCAGTGGAATCGGAGCACCTTGCTCTGCGCCGACACTTCCGCGCCCCCTGGACAGTTGCAATACAGATCCACAGTTTGGATGGGCATTTCCCAAGGGTACCCGCGCATCCTCATCGTGCACCATCATGTTTTCGGGTGCGGACCCTTCGAGACGTGCCAACACGGCCTTGAAGGGTGGAGTGAGGCCGATGACTAGCCGCCCCTGCCCGGCGAGTCGGCTCTGGAAGTTGACGCTGTGAGTATGCAGGTGATGCCGACCACTCCTCAGGCAGATCTCCCGAAAATCGAAAAAACGAAGCCCGTCCCCGAGCCCGCGCCAGAGAGTCCGATGCAGAAGAACGCGTTTCCGACGGCCTTCGCCGCGCCGGAAGTGCTCGCAGCCGCGCGGGTCTTGGAGAGAGCCCCTCAGAGTCGGATGTTCCCCCCGGACGGCGGCGGGGGGGAGCCCGACGGCGCCGAGGGCGCCCCCGACCCCCCTGACGGCGGAGACCAGGCTCCCAGCGAGGAGGCAGCCCCAGAGGGCGACGATGCCCTTGCGCGTGCACCGCGCGGGAAACACGTCGTCTGGTACACGCAGTACTTCACGCTCAGGGACGACGAGACGTGGCCCGACAGCAAGATAACCTTGCATGGTGCCGCGCCCAGCCTTGTGATCGCGAGCCTACTTAGAGAAACGACCTCGAGTCGCTGAGCCTGCTTAGCGTGTTCAGGGCAGCTGCCCTCCTCGCCGCGAGCGTTCCGGGTGCCGCCCTTGGCTGCCCCGCTGGGGGGGGGCATGATTTCCCCCCCCGAGTTTCGGCCACGTACGCAGGGCAGCCTGCGAGAAGTCCCCGGAGTTTGGGCCACGTTTCGGCCCTTCTGCCTATGCCCCAGGCCCGCGCGCTGCTCAATTTGCTTCGGGCTAATACGAGCTGGTCGAAGCTAACAAGAGCTCACAGAAGCTAATACGAGCTAGTTTAGCGAATTAGCTCTTATTCGCTCTTATTAGCTCCTACTAGCTCGATGCAAATTTAGCGAATTAGCTGATAAGCTCGAAGTTACTCCCACCAGGTATAGCGAGTTTGTGTTTCTCTCTTCCCCCTCCTTCCCCTGCTCGGGGGAAGGGGTTTACCCCTCCCCCTACCCCCTCCCCTGGACCTGGAAGGGGGGGGGGGGGCGGAGGCGCCGCAGCGTCCAAGATGGCCCAGGACGGCTCCAATCGGCGCTCCAAGTCGCAAGATGGCTTCCAAGATGGCCCGAGGAATTCCACGATGAGTCAATATAGCCTCCGACATACCTCCAAGAGGCCCCAAGACAACCCCAAGACGGATCCAAGTGCCCTTCGAGCCCTCCACGGCGCCCTCCAACATGCCAAAAAATCCTTCAAGAGCCTAGGGGAAAGTAATGTGTTTGGCATTCTCGCCCTTTCGCTTCCGATGGGCGTCTGGGACCTCAAGATGGCCCCAAGATGGCCCAGAGAGCTCCACGAGGGGCCCAGAAAGGCCCAAGACGGCCCCAAGATCGCCCAAGAGGCGCCCAAGAGCGGCCTAAGAGAGCCCCAAGACGCCATATTTGAGCCTCCGAGGGGGGGGGGAGGGGGGAATTTCCGCCCCCCTCTTGTTGAGCCATGGGGCCCAAGATGGCCCCAAGAGGCCTCCCAGCCTCTCCCAACGACCCTCCACCCCGCCCTGTTTGGCCCGAGATGGCTCGAAGAGGGCCCCAGATAGCCCAAGATGGCCTTCAAAATTGCCTAAGATAGCCAAGCATGGCTCAAGATAGCCTCCGACAGCCTTCCAACAAGCCTCAAGGCAGCCTCAAGATGGCCCAAGATAGCCGAGCATGGCTCAAGATAGCCTCCGACAGCCTCTAGCCGAGCCTGGCTCAAGATCGTCTCCAAGAGGCCTCAAGAAAACTGGCAATCAATTGTGGATGGGCTGGTGGGGATACGCGAAGCATCAAGAGCTAGAAGCTACTTCATGGCAAGAGGGCCCCAAGTCGGCTCCAAGAGCGCTCCAAGACGGCCCCAGAGGGGGCACGGGGAAGGGCCCCCGAGGGCCCCAAGACGGCTCTGAGAGGCCAGTCTTCTCTGTTTGAATCAGTTCAGGCATGCAAGTTTCCCTCCGAATTCGGACCAAAGGATTTGTCTCGCCTGGGGGGGGTCCCTCGAGGGCCCGCGCGGGCGCTCCAGCAGCCTGGCGGGCTTGCCCCTGCCAGGCTCCCGGAGGGCCCGCGCGCTCCCTCCGAGAAGCCCGTCTTGCGCGGCGGGTCACTTTCCGTAGCCATTTCGGCACCGGGCCCTTTGCCGCAGAGTCGCCGGGCCCCCGCCCTCCTCGCGCGGAGCCCGAGAGATGGGAGGCCCGAGCGGCCCCGGCGACCAGGCACCGTCGGTGGAGATGCTGGCGCACGCCAGGTCGCTGGCGAAGCTCAATACAGAGTCGCTCGCGCGGTGCAGAGAGGCGCCCACGCAGGGCGATGCCGATTTCCCCTTCTGCCCGCGCACCCTCGCCACCGAAGCGGGCGGGGGAAACTGGAGGACAGAAGGGGGAGGGGATTGAATGATGATGGCCACGATGAAGAGTGGGACGGGGAAGGAGGACGAGCGGGAAGGGGGGGGAACGGGCGGAGGGTTATCAAACGAGACCTGGGACCTCAGTGCGTCTCCCAGGAGAACCTTGACAAGGTTGCCAGGCTTCGCGCGGAACGCGCTTTCGAGCTCGGCAAGGATGCTGCCGATGCGAGGCTAGAAAAAAAGAAAGAAAACAAAATGGTATTCGGAGGCACGCCGGAAACTCGGGGTTCTGGGGAGTCCGCCTGCCCGCATTGGCGCCCTCCTCGGAGCTCTGAAATCCCCGACCTGTCTCAGATGCCCGCCTGCCTTGGTGGCTTTTTACCGGCGGAGCCTGGGCACCCCGTGGCGCCGGCCACTGTGCCCGCGCGCAGGTCGACTGCGAAGACGACGCGTACCCTCGCATCAGA